TAATGCTGGAAGAAAGGTGTGAAGACCTTGGTCTCTCTGGAGATTAGTGCTCAACATACATCATCTGTTGACTAAAACGTCTTCTCTTCTTCTGTCCTTCTTATGGTTGTCAAAATTCTCCTGCTGAGCAAAGCTGCTTCCCCCCCCCCCCATAAATTCAGCCATTGAAGCTATGACAGACTCTTTAGGGCAAAGTCACCCTTGGTAGAGTGCTGAATAAGAGTTAAGCTCTTTCAGTGACAAGGAATTCTCTAAAAGCAGACAACTACCAAGCTCTTCAGATATGCAAATAGCAGGAGATTCTGATTTATCCAGTTATCTCTCAGGAAATTCAAGCCTCTTCTCATGGCAAAAACAAATTTAGAGCCTATCTTTTCTCCTCTGTTTCTATTTTTTCTTTTCCGCTTTTGTGTGGGTTTTTCCTACAGCTTCTTCTCTGACTTCCTATGCTACAGATCAATGTGTCTTAATCAGCAGCCCCCTATCTCTCACTTATGATGTGAAAAATCAGCAATTATACCTTTGTGTTAGGTATGATGTCAGTAGTTTTGTATAATCTTCCCATAGCGTCAAAAATTTTTTGTTTTACAGTTTTCACTTATAACCTTTAAAACCCTAAAAATAGGTACATGTAAACGAGGCACTGAACCACCACATCCTGTAGCCATCATGACTAATATCCCTACTCATCCTTAATTCCTTCCCATATATTCATCTTAGTGGTAATTATCTATCAGGTGCTGAGAAAAATTTGGGTTTCTCCTCAGTATTTTTATCTGAAAGGCCATGTTTCTTCTCCTGCTGATTTTATCAGTTTTCCCTCAAGAAATAACCTTTCTTCTTCTATCAACAGCCAAAATGTCCACATATCAAAGGGACAATACCTTACATGTATATCAAGCCTAAATTTGCTTTTTCGACACTTTTACCACTGTTGTAGTTCTGCCCTAGTTCTTGTTTCTTAAAGGCTCCTCTAACTATAGGACATACATATCTTCAATCAATAAATCTTTTATTAAATGTTTTCTATGTGCCAGACACTGTGCTAAGTGCTAGAAATACAAAGACAGAAAGAAATAGTAATTGAGCTTAAGATATTTTCGTTCACTGGTTGAGATAAGATGTCTGCATACTGTTAATTATACAGGAGAGCTACAAGAAATGGTTTAGGATGTGTGATGATCACTTCAAAGCCTAGACTTGATAGTATGAGTCAATTCATTCTGGAATATTGTGAAAGAGATGATTTCACTCACTAACTGAGGTAGATAAGCACAGAATAACTAAAAGGAGCCACCGTTGTAGGAAATGGTTATGAGAAAATGAACTAGAATACTTTGAACAGAGACTCACCCACAGAGAGCTTGTTATTTCCCTGAAAAAAGAATCTCATCTTTCACACCAAAGTCTATGCTTATAATTTCAGCCAAGTCTCTTTAGTAAATTGAATGAAAGCCTTCAGGAGAAAGAGTCCAGAGAGAAAAACTGTAACAGTTGTTGTTACTTGTAGTTCAAATGTCACTAAATCTGCAGGCCCTTCTGTACTATACACTGAACAAAACTCAGGGAGGTGCCCAACTTATCCGGTGGCTGCTGGGTTTCAGGCCAGAGTCACATGGGGTCTGTCCATGTGAGAAACATACCCCACTGGGCAGCAAAGTGGCAATTCTTCTGCCAGTGTGTAAACAAGTTTATTTTATGAGAGTGAGGAGAATGTGTAACATGTGTTGTGAGAGAGACCTGCTGTAAGGTAAACCTAGCCTCAAGTGGCGTGCTGAGAAATGGGCACTAAAGGACAAGCATACCACAGGAATTCTCACAGCATGAATGGCAAGATGCCCAAACCATACAGAATCAGGTTGTTAGCCTATGTTGCTCATAGTGGGGAAAAAATGTCCAGTATTCAACTTTGTCATAAAGCAAGTAAGGAATTGGGTATCTTGGGGAATAACCTAGAGTGGGCATCAGGAGAGCAGGGTTCAGCCAAGGCAAGTCATGTAACTTCTCAAGGGCTTGGGTCCTTCATCTGTGAAATGGCAGTATTAGCAAAGAAGTGTTCTAAAATTGTTGTTCTGGCATTTAAAGATTTAAGAAGAAAATGTTGAACTATTTAGGGTCAAGAATGCTAAAAAAAAAAGAAACAGAAATCAATGGGAAAATTTTATAAGAGGCCTTTCTTGTCAAAGTACAAGGACATTTAAGGGACCAAAGAGGTAGTCTCACTCAAAAAATATATTGGTGGATTATGCTTGTTGTTTGAAAGGAACATGGATGCATTCATTTAGGAAGGACTGGGGAATAAAACAGATAAGATGAAGCTAAATTGTTGAAAGCCTTGAATACCAGTATAAAAAGTTCAGTCTATACTGTGCAAGAAATGGACAGCCAAAGTTTTTGTTCCCTTGGGAATTTTAGACTCAAGTCTATGGGGAAGTGCTCTATGTAAATGATTCTTATCCATCTTGAGTCACATTTGTCAAGGGAAATGGACATAAAAGAAAGGCCTTGTGGGAGCACTGGTTTATACTTAGTTAGGACAATGAACTTCCAGAAACACTTAATATCAGTGCAGGTGATGGAGTTATTAGAACACACAGGAAGTTGGTATTTCTATGTTTTCAAGAGAGAGAGCAAGTGCAACAGAGAGAGAGAGAGAGAGAGAGAGAGAGAGAGAGGAAAGGAAAGAGGGTAGAGAGACATAGAAAGGCAGAGACAGAGACAAGAGGGAAGGGAGAAATCAGATCATTCATCATTCATTGATTCATTGGAACACGTATTATATAGTAGTATCAATGCTTGTCCTTAGTGTGAAGGAATGTACTTTGGGAGCAAATATAGTGAACAGAAGAGAAGCATAGTATAGTCCTGAAACTGCTCTGAAATAAATGAGCAAGACCCAATTTGTGCTTAGCAATTTCAGCTCCTATGGTTAGGAGAAAAGGAAGAAAGGCTGAACTTAATGGTCATATGGGCAAGAAAATCAAACACAACTTTGGATTTAAGTGCAGTTTTAGGGAAAGGGGAATAATCATCCTTTCATGGTAACTAGCACCAGGAAGCCAGAGTGGCCAAAATTTGTTCTCTACTGAGAAATGTCTCTGAATAATTTCCTATTTATAACCTCTTCCTCCTCCTGGCCCCACTTCTTGTCCTATGGCCCATTCCTCCAAATCAACTGTCTATGACATTCTTTTTATCACACTCACACACACAAATTTAAATTCCCAGTGCTAGCTTGGCAGAGTCCTATAGTAACATATTGAACAAAACATTCAATTAACAGAGTTAGCACAAGAGATGAGGGTGGAAGGTTATGACACTTAGGAAAGTAACACAAAAATATTATTTTCTATAAAAATATGCTTAAAAATCTGCTTAAAGGTGTTTTTCTTTGTGGTTGTTTACCTTTCCCCCTTTTTAGTTTCCCATTAAGAGTGCTAAGAGTGGGTCTGCATACTTTTTGCTATTATGATGTAGTTAAGAGATGACCTGAAAATAGATAGAACATTCTCTAATTCTTTTCAATCCAGTCTCTGTCTTTATATCTTCATTTGTCCAGACTCTATTCCTGTTTGAAGTAACACCCATCTTTCCAGGAATCTCTGTGATCCCAAGCCATTTTCTCTCAGATTCTTCTAATGGTTTGATTTTGAGGAAATGTGGTACAATAGAAAGAGCACTCAATTTAGAATGACTCATTATGGGCTCTAATCATGGATTTACCATTTAATTCCTTTGTGACCTTAGGCAAGTTACTAGACTTTTTGGGGACTTAATTTCCTCCTCTGTGAAAGTATTGGAGTAGTTGGCTTTTTACATTTTTTCCAGCTCTAAATCTATGCTTTGATAGATTATAGAAATATGTCTTCTTCAAGGATATGATTCTAGGATGTTATCATGGACTCAAAAGGAAATGTCTTATGAGAGAAGTCCATTACTGTGATGAGTGAGCTTAGGAGAGGTTTTAGTAAATATCTTGCTTGAAGGTCGGCAATACTTGTTCATTTTGCTTTTTCTGACAAGATTTGCTTAAGAGAATGACAGCAAATTATGAGGAACCCCAAGTTATTCTTGAATCAGATAAGAGACAAGATAATAATTCTCTTGGATTAATCGTGTTGGAATTTCTGAGGTTTGCAGTCTGCCATGAGAACATGGAAGGAGTGGGGTATAAATTCTTTTACTTTAAAAGAAAATACCAACAACTTAAATTTAGGAAGCTGTTTTAGACTTAACTCAACATGTAGTCATATCATCTTGATGTCTCTGAGTCACTAAGAACTACGCACTGAACTAAGTGGCAGAAGTATCAAAATCATGAAGTTCCCAGCATTATCTGGAATCAGTCACTAACTTATTTGTGCTCACCAGTTCATTGAGCCTGCTCTTTCTGTGTCAGAATTACTTAATCAATATTTGTGGATTGATTGAATGATTCAGTGATAGATAGATGATAGGTTATTTATTAAGCACTTACTATATGACACATACTGTGGATAGAGAAATAAGAAAACAAGATAGTATCTCCTGGAGCTTATAACAGAAGAAAACAAATCGTAAAGGGGAGCTGAAAAGGAGGAAAAGGGAGCTGGGTACACAAGCAAGCTGGTGTTACTGCATCAAGACAGCTGGTGGGAAGGTAGAACAGTCCAAATAATGAATTTAGGTAGGAGTGAAGTAAGCATTATGGCTGAGGCTCCTCATGAAATGGCAGTCCCAGTCAGGGACTTACCAATCAGGAGAGCAGGCCTCAGATTTGAGTCATCTTAAATTGATGTGTTAGAAAGACAGTAAGAAATCATAGATTTTCCAGGGAAGTATAGAAGGAAGATATTTTTGATGATTCACTTACATTGTTTTGATTATTACAGTGAAGATCTTAGCATAGCCTCATGCACATTGCCTTGAAAATAAAAAGGCACTCCATAAATGCCTACTGAATAAATTGTCACCACTATTGACAAGTATGTTACTAACCACTGAGTGCTTTGTTTCCATAGCGTCCTCATTCCAATTATAATCTGAAGAAGCGAGTGAACTCTCTGACCTTGCCAAAACTTCAGTCACCTGAGGTGAAGAAAGTTCTCACCAGAGCACCTAACTCACAGTGGATGCCTGACATGCCACTGTCACTGCCACCACCACCACCACCACCATCGGCCATTGGTGGCACAAGTAAAATAGACCAGTATTCCAGAATTCTCTTTCCTGTGGCATTTGCAGGATTCAACTTGGTATACTGGATCGTTTACCTGTCTAAAGACACTATGGAAGTGAGTAGTAGCATTGAATAGTTGTCAGACAAAATAACCGGTACAGGTAGTATCTGTATGTAATGTATCTACAATTTACATTGAATATAGCATCGAGCCTCAATCTTTTAAAATTGTATTAAATTTGGAAACATTATTTGGATAGCATAAAATAATTATATACTAATATTGCTAGCAAAATATAAAGACTGGAAAAAATCATCTTTCTAGTAAAAATGTTATTTTCTAAAAAGATTGGAATGATATGTCAGTGTAGATATGAGATTGAAAGCAATTTTTTTTGGTCTATCATTGATGACTAATTTTCCCTGTTAATCACAGGATAAAGGGTATGGAAATGTTAACACCTCCAAAAGTTGCCTTAAAATGCATTGGTTTTGGAACATTTTCCAAAAGAACTAGATTATAAATATGCCCTAAATATTTATCAATAGGTAAAGATCAGCATGGAGGTGACCTTTATATTGGCTAAATATGGCTTTCACTTGCATTGTGAAATCAGCATTCAGCCTGACCATTATTTTTTAACCTTGCTGTGCTCTCTTACCTCAATAAAGTATGGTATTTGTATATCTATGAATTATTCATTCAATATAAAATATGTATGCATATGTACATAGCTTAAGCACTATTCAAAAAATAATGCAGCTGTATACTATTAGATTGTCCTTAAGAAAATGTGCTCCACACTATGTCCTACAATTATTGAGGTTGTAGTGGTTAAAATGAAATCATTAAAAGCTTATATTTTACATATAAATGTCTCCTTTTTATCTTCCTCTTCTTTCCAAGAATGCCCAAATAAAGTAACCCTGACCTTGTTATACCTCTAGTAAAATTATTAAGCAATCACTCCTAAGTAAGGCAACCCAAACTAATATGCATTTATTAAGCACATGCTATTGATAAGGCAGCTTGGGATATAGAGACACCTCCCAGCCCCAACCCCCAAAGCCAGACTCAGCCCACAAGAAGTTTATAGACTAACATAAATCATTGCTTAGACTTTTGGGCAATGGAAGAATTAAATGGGGATGTAGGAGGTGTTCCACTTTATTTGGTGTTGAAAAACAATTTGGGGGGCAGCTAGGTGGCACAGTGGATAGAGCACTGGCCCTGAAGTCAGGAGGACCTGAGTTCAAATCTGGGCTCAGACCAAACGCTTGACACTGACTAGCTGTGTGACCCTGGACAAGTCACTTAACCCCAATTCCCTAAAAAATAAATAAATAAAAGAATTAAAAAAAAAATTTAAAGAAAAACAATCTGAGCAACATAGTTATTCAAGAAATTATTCCACCACTGATTAGGAGGCACTACCTTCTTGCGATGTGCTAAAAATGAATTGGATTGGGATTGAGAAGACCTGGATGGAAATTTAGCTCTAGTTCCACTATTTATTACCTCTCTGACCTTTGGTAATTCACTCTCGAAGCCTCAGTTTCCTAATCAGAAAAATGAGGTGGTGTGTGTGTGTGTGTGTGTGTGTGTGTGTGTGTGTGTGTAAAATGGATAGTCCTCTATAACTCTGACATTCTTCTTTTTCTTTTTCCATTATTTGAATCATACTAGATTCAGACATTAAATAAATTCAGTTTTAAGTTTATGGAATTTGTAATACTCAGACTGGCAAGAGTTGTAAAGATTTTTGGTCTCACATTTGCCAATTGTTTGTGTTTCTTCAGTCAAGTTAATCAATAATAATAACTCACATTTATCAAGAAATAGATAAGCAAAAAGTTAAAGATTTGAATAGAAGTTTTAAAAAGTTGAATTAGAATCATGAAAATTAATGAATGTGTATGGTAGAGAGTACATTAATTACTTAGGTTGCATGGCACCTTTATGAAAACTCACCATGTACTAGAGCATTAAATACATATGAAATTCAGAAAAGCAGCATATTAAATATATTCTTATAGAACTAAAATAAAAAATTATAATCAACAAAGGAAAATTAAAGAAATAGTTCAGTTTTAGAAGACTATCTTGTGGTATTTACAGTACCAAGATGTTGGAGTGAGGAAGGAATTCTACCAAATTCCCCTCCAAACAACTTGAAAACCACCTCAGAACTGATCTAGGAGCAGAGAAGCAACTTACCAGCACAGGAGGAAAGGTCTATTTCACAGGGATGGAAAGGAAAGTAGTGAGAGCAGGAGCTTCACAGTAGGGGGCCTGTGGCAGGGACTCTGAGCCTGGGGCAATCCTCCAATGAGGCTCCATCATCTTTCAAGACAGCAGTTTCTACAGCACAGCAAGTCCCCACTCCAGTAGCCCCATCCCCAACACAAGCCACTATTCAGGCCTTCATCCCTTTGCTGACAGTAGAGAGGCTCCACCCCAGGGCAGGCCAACAGGAAGATCCTGCCATCAGGGCCTTCTGTCCCAGAGAGGCCCTGTTTCCATGGCAATGCACCAGCAGGACCTCACCCCTGGGACAGACCAACAACAACATCCCTTCCCCAGGGACAACCAGTAGAAAGACTGTTTTCATAGCAAATCAGTGGTGAGACTCTGCCTGTGGGATGGGGCAGGCCAGCAGAGAAACCCCACACTCAGGGAAGGTCAACAGGGAGCTCGACCTCCTAGTACAAGCCAGAAGGTAATCATACTCTCTAGTGCAAGCAAGCACCTAGTTCCTGAATCACAGTGAAAGCCAGAAACAAGACCCTGAGCCCTAGCACATAAAGCTTGAGACAGTGCAGGACCAGAGCCTAACTCTCATGTAAAAACACCTAGTCACTAAATACACAGAAATAAAAAAAATGAACAAAAAAAACAAAAACAAAAACAAAAAAAAAAGGTTTGACTATGGAAAATTACTATGGTAATAGGGAGGATTAAGGCACAAACTTAGAAGAGGACAATAGTGTCAAAATGGCTACATTGTAAAGCTTCAAAGAAAAATGTAATTTGGTCTCAGGCCCCAAAAAATCTCCTGGAAGAGATTAAAAAGGATTTTAAAAAGCAAATTGGAGAAGTAGAAGGAGAATTGGGAAAAGAAATGAGAGCATTACAAGAGAAATATAAAAAAAAAGAGTCAACAGCTTGGAAAAATATATACAAAAAATCACTGAAGAAAATAACTCCTTAAAAACACAATTGGTCAAATAGAAAAGGAAGTATAAAAGCTCAATGAAGAAAATAGTGTCTTAAAAATTAGAATTGAGTGAGTGGAAGCTAATGACTCCATGAGACATCAAGATATAAAACAAAATTTAAAAAAAGTAAAAAAAAATAGAAGCTATGAAATTTTTCATGGGAAAAATAACTGACCTATAAAGTAGATACAAGAGATATAATTTAAAAATTATTAGACTACCTGAAAGCCGTGATTAAAAAAATAGCCTGGACAAAATCTTTCAAGAAATTATCAAGGAAAACTACCCTGATATACTAGGAACAGAGGACAAAATAGAAATTGAAAGAATTCAATGATCATCAGCTGAAAGAGATCCCAAAATGAAAACTCCCAGGAATATTATAGCCAAATTCCAGTGTTCACAGACCAAGGAGACAGAACTGCAAGCAACCAAAAAGAAACAATTCAGATTTCATGGAGTTACAATCAGGATTACACAGGACTTGACAGCTTCCACATTAGAGAACCACAGGTCTTAGAATATGATATATTGGAAGGCAAAGTAGTTAGGAGTACAACCAAGAATCACCTCTGCATTAGAAGTGGATATAATCTTTCAGGAGGGAAATTGATGTTTAGCCAGATAGAGGACTTTTAAGAATTCCTAATTAAAAACTTCATTTTCTATAGTACCTTTCAACAAGATTTAGTTTCCTTCCTTATCTCTTTTATTTAGATCTATTTTTGCTTTTGCTTTGTCTGACATCATGATTTCTACCTCTGCTTTCTTTAAGAGACATAGTCAAAGTGGTCCTTAGGGGACAATTTATGTCCCTAAAAACTTTCATTAAAAAAAAAAGAGAAATAAGAGACCAATGACTTAAACATTTAAAGAATAAAAATAAAGCTAAACTGGAAGAAGAAAAAAAAAAGACTTTAAAAAGCAACTAAACACAAAAATAGAAATTCTAAAGGTCAAAAAAGGTCTACAATATTGAAAAAACTATTAAAACTCTTAAATTAGTAGAAACAAATCATTTTAATAATAAACATAGATAAACTTAATTTGATAACAGAAGAAAAGCAAACTATGAAAATGAAAACTGAAAAAAGGAAGAATCACACTAGATAGATGAGGAGAAAATAAAGAAAAATGTTTAAAACTATTTTGACTATTTATATACCAACAAAATTGATGTCAAATTAACCAAATGAATTTCATGAAGAGATAAATCACACAGATCAATGGAACAATACAGAGAAATTATATATATATATATATATATATCCCAGTTGAAAGATAATAAACTGAATAAGCTATAAATAAACTCCCAAAGGAAAAAAAATTGCAAGGTCCATCCAGCTCAACATCCATGTGCTTTCTATCAAACATTCAAAAAAGTTACTATAAAATTACATAATTCATTTGCAAAAATAGAGAATAAAGACATCCCCTACCAACTTTCTTATTAAAAGAAAATATGGTACTGAAACCCGAAGTTTTTGTTGTTCAGTCAGTTATGACTCTTTGTGACCCTGTGGATCATAGCACTGCAATACAGTCCATAGAGTTTTCCTGTCAAAGATACTGCCAATTTCTTTTCCAGTAGATTAAGGCAAACAGAGGTTGAGCGACTTTCCTAGGGTCATACAGCTAGTAAATTTCTGAAGCTGGATTTGAACTCAGATCTTCCTGATACCAGGCCCATCACTCTCTCCACTGAGCCTTCTAGGTATCCTGATAGCCAACAAAGGTATACATAAAGCAATTAAACATAACTCTGGACCAATGAATGTTGCTATAAATTAATAGATAGAATATTAACAATAGCTTATAGAACAATATTTTTTTAAAATATGCATTATTCCTTAAACCAATACAATCTTAAAAGATAAAACATGCAATTTTTCAAGAAAGAAAACACTAGGAAAAAAT